CCACTCCAGTCCAAACAATACTGAGAGTCTCGCTCCCAGCTTGCCTTGCTCCCATCCTGCAGACCCACACACAAGGCTCCGGCCACTCCACTCAGCTCCCTTGTACCATGACATCACACGACACGCTCAGGCACTGCCTCTGCCAGACCTAACCCCTGCTGGCACACGCAGTTCCGAGCCGAGCATCACAGCCATATTTTTTGGCAACCTTTTCCTGTCACTGGCGTTTACTGGCAGGAGAAAAGTTTTTTTTACTGGCTGCCAGTAAAAAAACTGATGGTTGGCAACACTGAGACACAGCTGGATGTGTCAAATGCTAAGCAGTTAAAAACTTATATTACAGTTTTAACATAATGCTTTTTCAATGTAATTACTTTACTTAATGTTTGAAATCAAAGTAAACAGTGTACAAAAAAAAGTAGATTGACAGCTACACCTGCTGATATTCTAGGTGCAAGATCTATACTATACATAGGTGGTGATCAGCATAATAACTTAACATGAATGATACTTTCTTTATGTGTAATCAAAGAAAAATAGTGTTGACCAGAAAGGATTAACCGTCAGCCGGAATATAACAGATATTATCCAGGATATAACATGCACAAGGAATTCATTTGTCGGTTGAATACCCATCAATGATATAGTAAATCTAGGCAGCTAATACATTGTGAAATCCAAACCGTGCACACACAATGATATAGTGTCTACAGTGAACACGCTATTCAGATACCACGTCTTATTTACTTGGGCTAAGGATTACGTTCATAGATTTTGAATGTCTTTATTTATTACAATATAAAAAGAAATTTAAAAGAGACAACTTAAACTGGTGTAAATGCAGTCAGCCCGCATTTTATTGACTGCTGTAGCTAAGAAAGTAGGGCTGGGTTACATATATAAATATACATATTGTATATGTACAGTACATATATATATATATATATATATATATATATATATATATAATTTTTTTTTTGCAATAGGGTTGGCATAAAAAGCATGAACATATAGAGCACAAGCTCTACTTTCTTTTTCTGCTGGCGACACACTTTTCGAGTTTTTCAGTTTTATGTAAATGTCTGATGCAAGGTGACTGTGCATTCGACTGCTGCTAATGTAGCTCTGATATTTAAGTACCTCAACTCCCAAACCACCAAACTGCTTTGAACTTGCTTGTTACCCTCATTATTAAAACATTCCCATAGCATGCTGGAGAGGCTTGTTTCTCATGCTTGCTGTTAGAGAGGTTGGCAGGTTAAACACACATGCACTTTGAATTCGTATTTGCGATATCAAGGCTGATTTTTTTGTTTTTTGTTTTTCCTTCACAACAGACAACAAATTGCCTTTAGTTTTTCTCGGAGGGGAGGGGGATGCAAGGGCCCACATTGCACAAGGCTTTTTCATTTTTAATTTCCGCTTTTTGTCTTGAGCTACAGGATATTTTAATAATTTGCAGTAATTACTCATGATATTATTTATTTATTTTTCAATGGACATGGCTCATTATTCGCAGATAAACTGTAATGGGTAATTACGCCAAGGAGGTGATAGTAGAACACATCTCATTAAAATGAGTTCCCACCAGAAGTCTTATGGATATTACATGCTCCACTGAATTGTTATTATATTTGGAAGTGGTCTTTATATATAAAAAGGGTGCGATGTGAACATCAGCATACAATTGTGCACAAAGTGCAATTAATCGTCCTCTTTATGAATGGAGGCTCTCTATGAAGCTTAAGAGAAATCAAAGACTTGGCTTGGCTTTTCAGGGCTGTTTGGAGACTCAGTACATCACAAACAGGAACATTCATAGCATGTGTCTAGCTTCATATTTGTGTAGCTCTGGCTTTAGGTTACATGACGCTACCTTACAAAAAAAACTGTCAAAGAGGTCTTTCATGTCTGGTACATATCTCTGTTTTTTTTTCTTTCATTTCTTATTTAGGGATATGATTAACAGACCCAAAGTGTGATGTATAATGAGGTTGTGTTCACACCATGATTTATATCTCTTTGGTAATTCATAAAAGGCTCATTGATTAAAAAAAAAAAAAAAAGTATCTACTGACCATTTATTGATTTGTGCTGCCAGTGGTATAACACTTCTGTGCTTCAGAAGTTGGATTTTTCCACATTTTAAAGAACTCCAGCAAAAATATTTTTCATCCTATGAACACCCACTCAGTAGAAAACACAACTTTCTTTGTTGTCAATAGAGAGATTTGTGTAGAGCTGCTTTTATTATCACTGGTGTATTATGGGAGTTTGCAAACCAGTATGGTTTAATGACATCTGAACTCTAAGCCTCTTTTTATCTCTCTCTGAATCAAGTGCACTGTAAAAGTTTCATTTTTTAACTTAATTTAAAGGTGTAATGCTGGCAATACATGGCTTTTTTTTTATTCAGCCAGTAGGCCGAATAGAAGAAAAAAACTAACAGGTTCCTCCATGGACACAAATAAGGTAGATGAAGGAATCCCCCTCAGTGGGCACTTGCCACTGTCAGAATATACTGATTGGTAGCTGCAGTTGATTGGCTGCAACTGCTGATCTACACATATTTTTCAATATATCCCTTTGACAGAATTCAATTAAACAATTGACTTTTGTCGATCAGGGAAGCCCACACACTTATCATGATTCAACTGCTCCAGAAGGGATATTATTCCGTGTATGGTCAGCTTTTATCTAACTATGTAACTATATAACCACTAAAGTAACTTGGTGCAGGGGTGGACTGACCATTTGGAAACTCGGGCACTGTCCGAGGGCCCGGGGTCAGTAGGGGGCCCCATGAGATGCCCCTGGTACCTTTTTCATAGGCTTTTTTGAGTTTGGGCAAGGACACAGGGGCCCCATGATTCCCTATTGCCCGGGGGCCCCATGAGTTGTCAGTCCCTCCCTGACTTGGTGACATTTTATAGCTTAACTACAACCAAAACTTTTTTTTATTTTTGAACAGAGGAGCAAGGGTTAGAACATCTGTTCAGTTTGTATTACTGTATGTTTATCCATTGGTGTCCTGTTGACAACAGCACCCCTTCTTTTGTTGTTATGTCAGGACATGAAGTAAAGGAAAATATCCTCATTTAAGAATATTTAAACTCAAAACAAAACATATCAATGCAATTTTTAGCTTGCTGGTCCTTGGGTTTGGTAGCTGCATTAGTTTTCTTTTTGGGACTTTTTTCCTTTATTTTCACCTGGTAATCATGTAAATAACACACTTCCTGTCCTTGAGTAGCTACACTCCACTGTATCTGTAAATGGAGCCATGGTTGTTACACAGGCTTGATTTAAAGCATGTCAGATTTTGTTCACTTTTACCTAAAGTAGGTTGATGGAATTAACCTCCTCCTGCCAACTGTACACATACAGTATATGCGGCTTTTTGGCAGGTGGACTTCAATATCAAGAAGCTGCATATATGCATCCCAAATGTAAACATTTCTGTGCTGAGAGCACACACCCTGCGCTCTCCCAGCACAGTTACTGGCAGGTACCCAACGCATACTTGTGATTGGGAGCTTTCTGATCATGTGACCACTATGACTTCCAATCACAGCAGTCACATGATAGGAATGCCCGCCTCCACCTGTACACATACAGTATATGCTGCATTTTGGCAGGTGGACTTTAATGCCAAGAAGCTGAATTTATGCATCCCAAATGTAAACATTTCTGTGCTGAGTGCACGCACAGTGCGCTCTCCCACCACAACCCTGCGCTCTCCCACCACAGTTACTAGAGGTACCAAAAGCTCCCAACATATACTTGTGATTGGAAGCTTTCTGATCATGTGACCACTATGACTTCCAATCACAGCAGTCACATGATAGGAATGCCCGCCTTCACCTGTACACATACAGTACTGTATATGCTGCATTTTGGCAGGTGGACTTTAATGCCAAGAAGCTGAATTTATGCATCCCAAATGTAAACATTTCTGTGCTGAGTGCACGCACAGTGCGCTCTCCCACCACAACATTGCACTCTCCCACCACAGTTACTAGAGGTACCAAAAGCTCCCAACGTATATTTGTGATTGGGAGCTTTCCAATCATGTGACCACTGTGACTGGCAATTAGAACCTCTTAAAGGGCTGGGAGCGGCAACGGAAGGGGTTAATAATTGACACATGAATGATACGTTTTTGGTGTCTGCTGAGGGCACAGGTAGTGACAAGGACATTGCATTTCTGGAAACATCAATTAGTATTTTTTGTAGTTTCCAAAAACTGTTTTATAGTCTGACGGAAAGATAACTAATGCAGTCACCACATCTAAGGACTGGTAAATTGCAAATATTACTTTTTTGCTTTTGGGTTTATACACAGTTTAAGAACACCCACAATTATAAAAAACTGGCAAAGGTTCAGACTCTTACTTACTGTACTGATCATTTTTAATTTAGGATTATAGGTTCTGAAATCCATGCATAGCAACAAACCCTGTTCTCTGGTCCTCAATTCAGACTGTGGGGTTGATTTACCAAAGGCAAATAATCTGTGCACTACAAGCGCACTACATGTGCAGTTGCTCTAGATCTGGGGGAAGCTCTGAAATGAGGAGAAGCTCTGCGGATTTCTATCATCCAATCACGTGTGTGCAAAAATGCTGTTTTTTTATTTTCCTTGCATGTGATTGGATATTCTTTACAAAGTGAAGATTTACCTAATTTACTAAGCTCTGGGGCAACTGCACTTGCAGTGCGTAGTATATTTGCCTTTAGTAAATCAACCCCTGTGTATTTATTGCACTGTATGGTAACAAATTATACAAGCTAATAATGTCTGCTTTTCTATACATTTTTGTTTTTAGTTTAGGTTTTTCTTTTTTATCTTGTCCTTGTTGACATAAGAAACCTTTTGAAGCAGAAATACTTTGGCTATTTATTTGGTGGGACAGGAATATTTTGTTTCTTACTGCACCAGGTACTCAGATTTTCCTATATTATGCAAAAAAATTTTCAGCCATCCTCTTTTTACTCTTGTAGGTTTAATAGTCCGAGAAGTAAGCATTGAAATATCACGACAACAAGTAGAGGAACTGTTTGGGCTAGAAGACTACTGGTGTCAGTGTGTTGCCTGGAGTTCTGCGGGAACAACTAAGAGCAGAAAGGCCTATGTGAGGATAGCATGTAAGTATATATTCATCATCTCTTCTGCGTTAGAAAAAAGGAATTTATGTTTTTTTTTGTTATTAAAAAACACTCCTACGCTCAAACCAGGGTACTTCAAAGAATGTATTAGTGCGTAATGCTTCCTCGGGGGCAGCCCTCCATGAATCAGGGAAATTCAAAAAAAACTGTAGAAACACACACACAAGAGGACACAGACTCCTCGTGCATTACCTTCATAAAATTAAATCAAATGCCAAGAGACAAAAACATACAATTGCATGAAAATAGCAGGCATATACAAGCAATACAGCCTTAGAAGGCCCATTCCATTTAGCAATCGTCTGGTAGGAAATCTAACACATTTTTGGAGTCAAGATCCCATTTTCAGAGCTGAAGAAGGGAGCTGGACTCCCGAAACGCGTTAGCTTTCCTATCAGACAGTTCCAAGATGAGACGGGCCTTCTAAGGCTGTCTTTCTTATATATGCCTGCTGTTTTCATGCATTTGTGAGTATGTTTTTGTCTCTTGGCATTTGATTTAATTTTATAAAGGTAATGCACGAGAAGTCTGTGTCCTCTTGTCTGTGTTCCTACTGTTTTATTTGTTATCAAAACAAATGCATATTTTGCTTACAGCCATGACTATACTCATCACTGACAAGGCCATATGCAGCACAGCAGTGTTTTATTTAGTTAATTTTCCAGGGCAATAACAAATATGTAGATTAATTATCTCGATGTATTCTTGATCTCCAGAAAAAGCTAGTAGAAAAGGGATGGGACTTTTGAAAGATAATAAATGACAAAAATGTCACCAATTTCCTTTCAAGATGCTAAATGTAAATATATTAAATTGTTTCCTTAAATCAAATAGCCCATATTGTAAGCCTGTAACTAGCATATGTCAGGTGATAGTGGAACTGCATTCAGGCATTTTTTTGGGGGGGCATTTTAGGGAAATTGGCTTTGCCTTTAGCTAAAGGTCAGCAAATTACAGTCCATTGGTGGAATTCGTTTGGTAGATAATGATCTACCAAATTGTGAACCAATATAAAGCTGTAAAAGATTTTGTTTTATACGTATATGTACTGAATCTTGGTATAAATTGTTCTGTGTGAGTAAGACACTTGTTTATTATCTGGGTTCAAGTTCCCATATAGTGTAGGACCAAATGGAATATCATTTTCCTTGATCTATGACTAAATTAGTCTTGATATTTTACATATTATATGTCTTGTGTATACTGCAGGGGGAGTGCTGGAACTGCATGCATATAGTATTCACATCTAAATGCAATAGTGTGGTCTTGCACCATGTTAAACAATGAGGTGGATTTACTAACACTGGTGCAGCTGTGTATGGTAACCAATTTTATTAAGTTTTGGCATTAAAACCTGGAAGCTGATTGGTTTCTGTGCAGAGATGCACCAAATTTTGCACTCTCCAGCCTCAGTAAATAACCCTCAATGTTTAATGCAGAACATTTGGAGTTTAAGCGATGCCCTTTATTTTTTTTACTTAAGTTGTTAAGGGTGGCAGTATTCAGGGCTCATCAGGTCCTTCCTTAAGGTCCCTTTTTCTTCTGAATTGTATAAGGAAGACTGACTAAAGAAGGGACCTAATGGGTCCCAAAAGTTCCCATCATTAATAATTTAAGTTACAAAATAAAGAGCATCTATATGCATACATATTTTAAATCCTTATTGTGCATTACTGAGTATTAATTCTTATCTAAACCATTATTTTTAATATACAATTCGCCAATAGTTGATACAGACTGTTAGATGATCTAGACCAGGGGTCTCCAAACTTTATATACAAAGGGCGAGTTTACTGTTCTTCAGACTTTAGGGGGGGCTGGATTGTGGACATCGGGAATAGAAAATGTTGCAGTATCAATGGGAGCAAACAATGCCCTATATTTGGTGCTAATGAGAGGAACTGTGTCCCATTGTTGTGTCATTGGGGAATCGTGCCCCATCATTGGTGTCATTGGGAGGAATTGTGCCCCATCAATGGTGTTATTGGGCCCAATTGTTGGTGACATTAGGCAGAACTGTGCCCCATAGTTGGTGTCATTGGGAGGAATTGTGCACCAGCATTGGAATCATTGGGAGGAATTTTGCCCCTTCATTGGTGTCATTGGGAGGAATTGTGACCCTTCATTGGTTTCAGTTGAGGGGAATTATGCCCCATTGTTGGTGTCAGTGGATGAAATAGTGCTCCAAGGGCCATATAAAAGCTAACAAAGGGCCACATCTGGCCCACATTTTGGATACCACTGATCTAGACCAAACTGCACCACTCCAGAGACCAAGCCTCTCATTCACCATGAACATGTCGGGTGTCTGCAAACAAGCCCATTCAAGTTCCTGACACCAAGAATTTAACAGATTCTAGGCTTACACTCCAATGATGTCACTACTTTAAAAAACCTTAATTGAACCACAGATAGCATACAGCTTGTGCCTGCCTGAGAACTGTCCCTGTGATACCATTCATCCCAATTGGCCTAAAGTAGAATTCCAGGATAATGCTAAGATTTCTGAAAAATGCTCCCAATCCCTCCTGACATCTATTCTGACTAAGCAAGAGCAGTATACTTATCTATTTACAGTTGCTTTGGTCCAGACAGTTGATCCAGCTCTACTGTGTCAGCTAGCAGTGGCTGCAGGGGATAGGAGGAAATGCTGACAGCTAATAGGAGTCTATGGGTGATGTCACCACTCTAAGGCATTGCCAGCTATTGTTGAGTTCTCTCTCCTCGCCTCTGCTGCTGGCGCTGGTTGACACAGGGGAGATCACATGACTGGATCAGAGTAGTCTGAAAATAGGTAAGTAGACAGATCTTTCTTACACAGGTTTGTCAGAATAGGTGTTAGGAGAGGGAGCATTTTTAAAGGATACGTTCACCTTTTTAAAAAATAATACATGCAATTAACTTTTTTTGCAAGTAAAGAAAGTGTTAATTTATTTAATTTTTTTCTTAGGAGCCTGCAGAGCATTGCACCCAGGATCAACAGATTGTGGGTGCAGTGTCAGGCTTCTGCAGACTCTCTGTACAGCTGTCTGCTCATACCTCCCATTTGGGCAGACAGTTATTGAACTCCAGGAAGAATCAATGAACTATGAGAGCGCTCACCAATGCCCTTACAGTTCACTGAGAACTACAAGCTGTCTGCCATGGTGACAGACAGTACTTGTAGTGTTCATTTATTCATAGATTGCTGTGAATGATGCAGCTTCAAGGGCAGAGCTCCGAACAGCCATGCTGTTTTTATATTGTGACAGTGGGTTCAAACATGGGGGGAGCCATGCTGTTTTTAAATTGTGACAGTGAGTTCAAATGTGGGGGGGGGGGTGTTTCTGCCTTAGTAACCTGTTACACCCAGAATGCAGGTGTAACATGTAACATGCTATATTAAAGGTGAGCTTATCCTTTAAGATTAGTTAGCTTCATCTTGGAATCCTACATAGATCTGTACGATTAAAGCCATCAGGGTGAAATACATCACATAGAAGGGGTTCTGAGATGGGGACATGCTGTACGCTGTCTGTGGTTTAATAAAGCTTTTAAAACTTAGTTATATCAAAAGAACATGCAGCGCTAATGAAATTCAATAATACATGCATATAGTCATAAGGTGCATATAATCAAAAAATGGTATTGTGAACACCACTTGATAATAGAATCGATCTAAACATGTCTAAAGGTCTCGAAATGGTGATAATGGTAAATAAATATCTCCAACAAGAGTGTTCTTGCGGTGCATCGTGCAAAATTTCAAGGCAATGTGGTGAAAAAAATTAGTGAGTTCTGTGACCGTATTCCTCCCACAGAGATGAGTGTAGATTGCACTAACCAGAAAGCGCAATGGTAATGCGCATTTGAGTGTTAACCAACTCCTGGTCATCCGCCTATTGAAACTGGATCACAGAGAGGGGTCGTCTGGCCTGCGTCAGCTGGGCAAATATCGCAACCTCAGGGTCTCCAGATATCAGGGGATATGCAATCGTCTCACCAGCAGGGGGAGTTTAACTATTCCTGATGTGGCCACCAGATCATCCCAAGCAAGCCTTGAAGGAGGGGGGGGCTCGGAAGTAACGAGCCAGAACAACAGAAAGATCTGATAGTGTAGTACTTTATTATCAAAGCACCTTTACATTTGATAACGTGCAAGCGCACAAAACGCATTAGGGAGGTGCCCTACATCCTGTGACGTCACACCGCACGGCTCCTGTGGACGGCTGGTGGACATTTTGGAATTCCCTATCATCAGCTGCTTACTACTGCATGTGAGTACCAAATTCAAGTACTCTGTATATTTTACCCCTGTGGATAATAAAGTACTACACTATCAGATCTTTCTGTTGTTCTTTCTGTTACCATTATCACCATTTCTGGACATTTGGACATGTTTAGATCGATTCTATTATCAAGTGGTGTTCACAATACCATTTTTTGATTATATGCACCTTATGACTATATGCATGTATTATTGAATTTCATTAGCGCTGCATGTTCTTTTGATATATGTATTTTGGAGGCTCCTGGTGTTCGCCTTTCATGCTAGTCGCTTTTTCGTTTTCATCCAGCGCTCGTATTGTTTCTTTTTTGATTTTTAAAAATTAGTGATGTCATTGGTGTGCATCCTGAATTCTGTTACATAAATAATACAGACTGTTATATTTTGTAGCAGAGCTGTTTTTGTTTTTACATTTACAAAGAAATACATTACTTATTCAATCCAAGGACATATTACCTCTCACAAGAGGTTAAAAAACATAATTTTCTAGCATTTTCTGTTTTCTTAGAATTCATAATGTTCTTATTTGCATCGATATTGTCCCATGTCCTCTCTAAACTATGTCTTTGTCTAAATTCTTTCAAGTGTGGGAAAACATAAATGAATTTAATATGAAAACAAGCGCTATTGATGCAAAAAAGGCAGCAGTAATAGGAAAAAACCTATGGAATCACTCGTTTAATATTTTATTTGGAAGGGGACAAATACAAAA